GCACCTGTCCCACTTTGTAGTTGTAAGTGCTTGCAGAGGCAAGGGTTTAGAAGAGACCACAGGCCTAGATATGTTTTGTCAAGGCTCCAGTTTTTATATTGAGTGATGGGTTTATGGTTCTTAATTCATTAAAAATAAATAAGACAACTGTGCATGCATGCAGCATAATGATTAATGTGATTGAGTGCACCTGAGGGCCATTAAAAAGATAACAAGGTCATTATTAAGTTCATTACTAAGTATCTAAACACCATAGAAGCTTGGCTTTGTGTTGATAATGAGTCAAGGGTGGTAGAAAACAGGAATTTGTGCTTCATTCAATAATTTACAGCCCGTTTGAGGGAGTTGAAAGAAGAGAATGGGGTGGTAAGGAAAGGAAGCAGTCATTTAAGCCAACTATGGAGTATAGACAGTGCTTAGCGCAGAGAGGGAGAATGTTCTCTTCAAACTCCACTAAGATAAAAGTTTAATATATGTGCTGCAGTATTTCAACAAGTGTAAGAGATGGTGGGGAAACAGTGGCCTTGCTGGAGAAATGGCATGAACAAAAAAAGGTTGACAAGATACACATGAATTCAGAGGATAGCAGGATGGACTGGGAGGAATACGGGGAAACATCCAAAGCCAGTCCAGGGGATTTGGACTGTTTCCATCTTAGGCAATGAGGAATCCATTGAGATTTTCGAACAAGGATCTGTCCCTGAGAAGTGTTTTACTAGTATTGATACAGAGACCTACTAGTGTCCCTCCATATTGCCACAGCCCCTAGAGAAGGGCATGGTGGGGATTCAAGCACTCCTGCACATTCCTGAGCACATTACTGAGAGCCCCCTTGTCCTCTATGCACTCCCAGTAAGAAGCTTCCTTGACTTCCCAGCAGACTATGCCCAAAGATGTAAATCCCTATTTACTCCCTTTCTTTGAACTATGTAGTATCAATGTCTTGTGATTTGCATAACTTTTGCAATGCATAACTTTTGCAATGTAAAGAAGTTTGTAAACTTTCTTTAAATTTCACTATCTAAATAAAATGCCGCTGTAAGTTCTGTACAATGCTCTGCTGGTCACGTGGGTAATGTATAGGCACCGACAACCCTGGACTATAAAAGTGAACTGTAAAAGCCTCGAGGGGGAGCAGAACCATTTTAGAAAGACCTCGAGTCCGGCTCTGCTCCCTGAATTTGAACTCGGAAATAAACTTCTTTCTACCAGTTCCCTGGCCCTTTGATTTATTGATATCAAGGGGACAGTCGAGCATTACTCGGACCATAACAGTATACCTCAGGGAAAATGGCAGGTGGCTTTGGGGGTATGTAAGCATAAAACGTGCTCAGAGAGAAATGGAAGGAGTTTTTAAGGTCCTAAGGGAATGTGGGGCCAGGAAAGGCTGCTAGAGGAAGAATGGAGAACACTCTGATTAACAGAGGGAAAGACGGTGTTCTGGGAATGACACTGGTGTGGGTGGGGAAACAATGCAGGAAGCTGAGGGGACAGGTCCAAATGGGCTCCAAGGTCATAGGGAAAGCACAACTGTGTTGGAAGCAAATAGCATTTACCTAGAAGTGCCCAGCTACAAGCTAGAGATGCAGGAAACACTTGAGAGAAGATAACATTATCCTTCAAAGTAGATGTGGGGCAGGCATCAGGTGGAAAGTCCCGGTTGTCAAGACTTCAGAACTGTCACTGCTTGAGAAGTGCTATTGGGGTGGAGAGACCTACGACTTGCAGGCTGTGCCAGAACAGTCACAGCAACTAGTGCTACATAGCACTCACCATGTTTTCTCTTTTGAGCCCAGAATGACTTAGGTTGTGAAACAAGAATCCACATGCTAGAAAACAATGAAGTGATTGCCACATGGGAAAATTAAAGCTTCCTTCTTGTGGCTAGACATTCTAGTATAACCACTCTCTGACACTGATTTACCCTTCGGAGATGGGTTCTTACCACCGAGGATGAACACAGATGCGTCTGATCTGTAATTGACTCAAATAATCTGAGAGAATCTGGGATGAATTACGGTTTAAGCAATGTCTCCACATCTCCTTCTCCCTAAAATACTAAAGTGAAGAAGAGTGCTAGAAAAATAGGTGGCCACCAGCAGACCAGAAACCAAGGGAATTCTGCTACGGAACAGTTATCACTACCATTCATGAACTTACATAACTAGGAAAGAGAAAGTGAGGTGTGTTGAAAAAGATTGGAGCTAATGGAGGTTCAAAATAATCAGATTTAGAAGCTACATTAAGTTTATTTTTATGGCAGCCAAAATCAAGTAACAAATGTAACAGGGGAAAATGGACTCTGGGACTCAAGACCGAATTGAGTTTCACTTGTAACAAAAATTGGTTTACATAGAAAAGAAAACTGATTGAGTCCCAAGTAGCTTTAGGCACAGCCAAAAGGTGAGATTTAAGCGATGTCACCAGAACTGTATCACCATACCTTGTCCTGCTCCCGATTCTTTGAACCCTTTCCTTCTGTGTGGTATTCTCTAAGTGGCAGGCTCTCTCCATGCAGCAGAGAAATCTCTCCTCTGACAGGTCAGAAAAAAAATCCCTAGAATTGAATCCTTCAGCTTTGCTTTGGAATGGGCTCTGCTAGGTCAGATATGGGTTATGTTCCTGATCTTGGGGTGTGGTGAAAGGGGAAGGAGTCAACCCCACCAGAGCCATATGGTCTAAGAACAAAGGATGGGTAGAAAACTGAGAAAGCTGGGCTCAGTGGCTCAGCCTGTAATCCTGCGCTTTGAGAGGCTGAGGTGAGTGGACTGCCTGAGCCCATGGGTTCGAGACCCACCTGGGCAACTTGGCGAGACCTCATCTCTACAATAAATCAAAAAATTAGCCGGGCGTGGTAGCGCGCACCTGTAGTTCCGGCTACTTGGAAGGCTGAGGCAGAAGGATCGCCGAGCCCAGCAGGTCGAGGCTGTAGTGGCCGGGAGCGGCCACTGCACTCCAGTCTGGGTGACAGAATGAAACTCCAACTCAAAAAAAAAAACAACTGTGAGAAAACTGAGCTGCCATCACAAAAGGAAATGGTTTTGGGAAGGCAAACAACACCCTTTACAGACTCCATTCCCAGTAGCTGCAGACGCCAAAGAGTTGGAAAACATCTAAATGTACAGAGAACCTATATAAAGAAAACTGTAAGAGACTTGCATAAATGAAGCAGGAGTTCACGTTCTTGAAAGAGAAGACACTGTAAAGATACCACATATTTCCAAATTGATCCAATTCCATTCTGATCAAAATCCTAAAGCAATGTCTGAGTAACTCTTTATAAGTTGATTTTCTTTTTGTATTTTTTTTTTTTGAGTTGGAGTCTCACTCTGTCACCCACACTGGAGTGCAGTGGCCGCTCCCGGTCACCGCAGCCTAGACTTGCTGGGCTCCGGCGATCCTTCCGCCTCAGCCTTATAAGTTGATTTAAAAAATTCATCTTACACTACACACTAAAATAGCCAAGGATTTTTTTTGAAAACGAGCAATGGTAGGGGAAGGGATTAGGCTGATCATCAGATATTCAGATGTACTGGGGACACATAGTTAAGACAGTGTGCTATCAGCAGACAAAAAGATAAATCAGTAGAATAAAGAATACGTCCACATCAACATGGGAAAAAAGAACTGTCAATGAAAAATATTGGAAGATCTACTCCAAATTTTCTTTCAGAAGAAATGAGTCCAGCATCATACTATACCAAAATAATTCCAGAATGCATCAGTAACCAAGAGCATAGAATACTTTTTACAGTCTTGGGACAAGGATGACCTCCCTAAAGAAGACCCAAACCCCAAAAGCCATAAAGGTAAACATTTAGGATGATCCAACATTGGCAAGAGTGAAAAGTGAAGCATTTTCTTACTTGGTGTTAACCTGGGCTGGGAGAACCTATTTTGAATAATAACTTGGTAGTAGCCGAATTTTAATTCATACAAACTGGGACTCAGATTCTCTTTCTAGGATTCTTTTACCAACATAATTACATGCAACATTTTCAATAATTCTGAACAGGAGAAATATCCTAAAATACACAGTAATGGAAGGAGAGCCAAATCAGCTTATCCTGCCATAGTGGAGGATCGCTGCAACATTCAGAGCAGTGATGCAGAGCTGTGTGTTCTGAAGAGAAGGAGCACGTGAGATTAAGTCAGAAGAGCAGGTAAAGTTTTATAAAAATGCACATATAATCATGGTCAGCAAGGCCTGAGGGATACCGCACTGTCAACCACCTTTGCAGTGATGGGTTGACTGCAGAAAGGAAGGTAGAAAAGAGGAAGGACTTTTTATATGCTTGTGTTGATTAAAAGTTTAAAATAAAGCATTGCTACATGTTGTATATCTAAGAAGACAATAAAAACAGAAATTGGCATCAATTCAAGTTACTCCTAAGAATAAGGGCTTATTGAATCAGGAACGCCAACTAAGTTTTTTTTTTTTTAAAGATAAATTTATTAAAAACTTTGAAGTTATTTAACAATTTATTGAAGTCAGAGAAATAAATAAATATATTAAATTGAAAAGCCTAGAAGTCCCAGAAATTAGATTTCAAAGGATCTGGTTTCAAAGAACTACATTTTGGAGAATTCCTTATAAAAGTTTTTGATACTACATTCCTTGTCAAACTGGGACTTAGACTGCTTTGGAGATCATTTTGCCTCTGAACTATATGGCCGTGATTAAAATTAGCAGCAGAGCATGGAGTCATGGATAGATGATAGGTTCATAATCACCCTTATCCAATTTTTAGCAAGTAGCATCTTATTGCCCATTTAAGGGAATGCAGTTTCTTTTGCAATTCTCTGAAGCCTTCAGACTCTCCACTTCCCCCACTCAAAGAGGAAGCATTTGCATGCTTGTCCTAGCATCTTTGGAACTTGTCATGAGTTAAAACACTGGCCAAACAATCACCTCAGGACTCCTTGCCAGCATTCAGACAAGAATGTCTCAGGAAAGGCGGGTTACTTCAGTTCTTGTTCTCACATCTCCAATTGTCACTTAGCTGGTCACGGTTAGGCAGGTAGAAATGGGTTAAAACTTTCAAAACTCATAATAATCGTGTCCAGAAAAAATAGATGAAGGCCATTGCTAAAAGGCATGACACAAACGCCTGAACCGGCAGTCTTCTCCAAAAAGTTAGTGGTAAGGGTGTACTGAAGAAGACACAAAAGCCATCCTACAAGGGGGAGAAAGAAGAATTAGATTGTGGCATGATGCTCAAATCCTGAACTCAGAATGCACAGTTTCCAGATTAGATAGTAAAATAACTCTTAGAATTAAAGAGTAAAGAAAGGAATTTCTGGCCCATTGGCAACCTGTAATTAGGAATCTTTGACAAGAAAGGATTGGTAAGAGGTAGGCCAACATAGAAGTAATCCTTTAACTTTGTTACTTAGAGCAGGAACAATAATATTTGGACTCAAAGCCAAGAGGAATGGACTACTCTATCATGCTTTTTTCTGAGCAAAGGATGGATGTCATCTGGGAAAGTGTCAAGTCACTAGACTGAAAAGTTATCACCTGAGATAATAAATAAAGCAAGCAGTTCCATTTAGGAAGGAAACTGAGCTCTAGGCTGTGGCTTTTTGACTACAGCTGGTGAAATGAGAGTGAATCCATTTACTCAATTTGAAAATTCTGGCTTCTTGATGTTACGGGATTATGCTTTAGTCAATGTTGGCTAGCCACAAAGTGAAAACAGAAAACAATGCCCCCCCCCCAGTTGCTTCTTTAGGTGCAGAGATCCCCTAGGGGCCAGCCTTATTAAAACAGGGCTCAGGTGGGGTTCTCAGAAAGGCAGCTGACAGGAGTTCACAGGCCCAGAAAGCTTAAGACCAACACAAGCACCATGAACGATGCAGGAGTTAATGCCAACACTTCATACTACCTTCCCTCTTCAAATAGAGCCCACTTCATCACCATAGGAGGCTAAAAAAAAAAAAACAACAAAAAACTTAAAATGCTGGTTTTGATAGTTTGGCTACATTTCTTCAATAACATGGGTCACTTCAGTCGTTGATTCTCCAAGGAGAAGAAAGAAACAGAGAAGAGGTCTAGCTCAGAACCTGTGAGATATGTGGTGGGCTAACCAAAGTGTGGCTTGCCCTGACAGTAGGCTGTAGGAGCGACAGGCCAAGGGCCTGTCCCCCTAGCCTAGACCAAAGAGAATAAGGATTTAAAGCGGAAAGCCAGGGTGCCTGGAAACTTCCCCCACAGAGGTCCAAGTGCAGCCCATTCGCAGTTAAAGAATCACCACTGGGTGACCACGCACACCTCCCAACCCTTCTGGCCTCGGTTCCTCCTGAGAGATGTGTAATTCTAGCACTTTGAGAGGCCGAGGCGGGAAGACTGCCTGAGCCCAGGAGTTCGAGACTAGCCTGGGCAACTTAGTGAAACCTCGTCTCTACAACAAATCAAAAAAATTAGCAGGGCGTGATGGCATGCACCTGTAGTTCCAGCTTCTTGGAAGGCTGAGGCTGAAGGATCGCCTGAGCCCAGCGGAAGGAGGCTGCGGTGGCCGTGAGTGCGCCACTGCGCTCCAGCCTGAGCGACAGAGTGAGGCTCCAACTCAAAAAACAAATAAATAAAATAAATAAAAGATGGCGAAAAACCCCACCCGGCGGGGCCACGCCACTGTTGACTTTATTAGTTGGACATCTCTATAGGAGCAAAGCATCCGGACCTCCGAGGGCGGGCTAGGCCCAGGTCAGAGAGTGCAGACCGAGTCTTGCACGGGTGCTTCCGAAGGGGCTCACCAGACAGCCGTCGAGCAAGGCCGCCTCCTGCCCGTCTGAGTGCCAGGACAGAAAAAGCCCGGACTTCGCACCGAACAGTCCGGTCCCGCTGAACCGCGCGCTTCTTCTCTCGCCCCGGGGGCCGCCACGTGGGCGCGTCCGCGGCTGCCCGCCCCGCCCGGCGTCCCTGCGCGCCCGCGCCGCGGGGTGCTCACCCAGCCGCCTTGAGCCTGCAGCCAGGCGCGGTGCCGCCCCGCGAGCCGCGCGCTCAGCAAGGCCACCAGGCGCTGGCAGTCCCGCGCAACGTCGCCCTCCTCCTTCTTCCGCCGGGGCCTGAAGCCCCGCTGCTGCCCCCCGGCGGGCAGCAGCGGTCCTCGCTCCAGAAGCGTCCCCGCGAAGGTCACGAGCGTCACCACGCGGCCCCAGCTGAGGTCGCGGCTGCCAGAGAGCACGGCATCGGCCATCCGCGCCGTCAGGTCCACGCGGCTCCCGGGGTAGTCAACGAAGGCCGAGAAGAAGGAGGCGTGCCGCTGCCGCAGCCTGGCGGCCGTGGAGCGCAGCACGGCGGCCTCGGGCGAGGACGGCCGCGGCTCGGGGCTGCCGGGCGGCCGGGCGCAGTACTCCAGGTAGTCAGCCAGCAGCCGCGCGGTACGCTCCTCCAGCGGGTCGGCCATGGCCCGGCCTCTGCCGGGAGCCCGGGCCTCTGTCTGCTTTCTAGACCCGGCCGTGCCGCCCCCAGGGTGGGGCTGCCGTGCCCCGCCCCGCCGGACTTGCGTTTCTAGGCCTGGAGAGGAGCCTTTGATGGAATCCCACCTGCACCTGTGACGGTCCCCAAGGCGAGGCCCGGAGGGGCGGCGTGCTCACATAGCAGTCAGGAGCAGAGCCAGAGTCTGGGGTTATGTTTAGCCCAGCCCCGGGGACTAAGAACCTCCGCGGAAAGTTTGGGAAGTCGGGCTGGACTTCTCTTTGTATTTTTTGAGTTGGAGTCTCACTCTGTCGCCCAGGCTGGAGGGCAGTGGCACGCTCACGGCCACCGCAGCCTCGACCTGCTGGGCTTAGGCGATCCTTCTGCCTCAGCCTTCCGAGTAGCCGGAACTACAGGTGCGTGCTACCACGCCGGGCTAATTTTTTGATTTATTGAAGAGACGAGGTCTCACCAAATTGCATAGGCTGGTCTCGAACCCCTGGGCTCAGGCAATCCTCTCGCCTTGGCCTCCCAAAGTACTGGGATTACAGGTTTGAGCCCACTGGCCCTGCCTCTTCTTAAGGCGAACTTGACAAAGGCTATGCACAGCGCTGCACAGACGGCTCCTCTGCTGCATTGTCAGCATCTCTAGACTGGACAGAAGCATCTGGGTGTGTGTTGGAGATTCCTTTCCCCGGGTCCGGCATGTGTAGCAGGAAACAGGCTAATTTTCCTGGGGACTGCCAGAGTGCCAATATTGGCTACATGCATTCATGCACTCACGTTCAGTCAGAGCCTTTGGAGTGCTCTAGGACTACCCATCTTTGTGTTGTCGATAAAAAATGGAGAACAAGAAACATGGTCCCTGACCTCAGAGACCCTACAGTCTGGTGATGGGTGGAGACAAGGAATGGACCATTATAGTACAATTTAATTATCACTATAATAGAAGTTGAAGGAGTGTTCAGTTGCAGGACAGTGGCTGCTTCTTGTACTACCATTCCTATATTGCTTAGAGTTCTCTTTACTTTTTATTGACCAATCCCTCATTACTCCAATCCCCTGACAGAGTTAATACCTTTTATATTGAACGTGCCCTGTTCATATTACTCTATGGCTTCTTTCTCCGGATTGGACCCAGACTGATGCTGGATTGGTACTAAAAGTGATGGGGATTCAACGGGCTGGAGCATGTTGAAATATCCTTCTAGGGTGAAAGATGAGTTGTTGCAGCTTGCATCACTACAAGGAAAACGAGGCACAATGCGTGGTAGGTGTCTTAGTCTGACTGCTGTAACAGAATTCCATAGAATGGGTAGCTTATAAACAACATAAATTTCTTTCTCATGGTTCTGTTGACTGAAAAGTACAAAAGGTAGTGTTTACGTCTGGTGAAGGTCTACTTCCTGGTTCATAGACAGCAGCCTTCTTACTATGTTTTCACATTGTAGAAGGGGCAAAGGAGCTTTCTGGAGTCTCCATAAGGACAAAAATCTCATTCATGAGGGCTCCACTCTCATGATCTAATCACCTCCCAAAGGCTCCATCTCCTAATACCATCACATTGGGGGGCTAGGGTTTCAACCTATGAATTTTGAGAGGACACTAACATTTAATCTGTAGCAGTAGGCCATTTTGGATCTTGGAGGCAACATATACCACATTTAAGTGTGCTATTTCAACGGATATGACAGGGTGGTGGATTGAAGATCAGGATAAGAGAAAGCTCTGCAAAAGGTTCAGGCTGCAGTAGAGCTTCTCTACCACTTGGGTCTTATGATGCAACAGATCCAGAGGTATCTGAAGTGTTCAGCAGGGCTGCTGTACAGCAAGTACTAATAGGAGACAGCGCAGACCTCTAGAATTTTGAAGCAAATCTATACCCTTTTCTGAAGATAACTAATCTCCTTTTGAGAAGTAGGTTCTGGCTTGCTACTGGGCCTGGATAGAGGATGAGGGCTTAACAATGGGATATCAGGTGACCATAAAGCTTGAGCTCCCATCATGAACTGGATGTCATCTGACCTACTGGGCCATAAAGTTGGACGTACAAAGCTGCAACCTATCATCAAATAGCAGTATATTAGAGGCCAAGCTTAAACAGGTTCAGAAGGTACAAGTAAGTTATATGAGCAGGTGGCTCAGACTCCTTCACCACCAAATCCTGTGTCTTTGCCTCCTCTTCCTTATTCCATGGCCATGGCCTCTTGTGATGTTGCTTATGACCAGCTGACTGGGGAGAAGGACCTAAAGTCTGAATGGGTCTATATGATGTGCTGATGCAACATGAAAGTAGACAGCTGCAGGATTCACTCAAACTCACACAGGGTGACTGTGAAGGACAGTGGTAAAGGAAAGTATTCCCAGGGGGCAGAAATTCAAGCCATATATTTGGTTATCCACTATGCTTGGAGGGAGAGATGACCAGAGTACAGACCTACATTAACTCATGGGCAATTGTTGATAGACTGGCTGGGTGGTCAGGGCCTTGAAAGGAACAGGATTGGAAGCCTGGTAACAAGAAAATCTTGGGAAGAAGTATGTGACTGGACCACTGTGAATGGGCACAGACTGTGAAGATGTTCATGTCCCACATGAATACAGAGACCACTACAGAGGAGACTCTGAATCAAGAAGACAAAATTACGTGCTCTGTGGATGTCAGACGGCCTCTCTACCCAACTGTTGTAGTGTTTGCTCAAAGGGCCCATGGGCAAAGAGGTCATGGCAGCAGGGATAGAGCACATGTATGGGCTCAATGATATGAAATTCTCCTCATAAAGGCTGAGTTGGCTGATGTTACACTGAGAGCCTAATCTGCCAGTGCAAATGATTCCTGTTATAGAGAGCCAAATGAATTTTGTCAAAATATAAATGTCTGTATTTCAGAGTCCCATTTGAACTGGTTTTTACATCTAACTGGTTCCCTCATTTATCAATGAGTTAATTAAAAGTTTGGATACATGTTTATGTTTTGTTTGCCAAAGAGTCATGAGTTTTTTGAACATTATACTTAACAGCAAGCAGAGTTTTCTCTTAGATTTGGAGTAGCTTGGGAGTGAGTGGTAAGTCCTCTCACACTGCTATTGGTAACTCTTAATAATTATCAGTAAAACTAAACAACAAGTTAATAAATTAGCCTCCACACAGAATTTCCAATCCATAAAATCCAAGGAGGCAATTTTCACTCAGACTTGGTTAATATCCTGGCTCTGCAACTTGAAAGCTCTGCAACCATGGGCAAGTTTATTCAATCTCCTACCCTCAACTTCCTCACCTAAAAAAACGGAGCTAACGAAGTGTCTGCATCATAGGGCTGTTCCAAGGATTACATGAGTTGACGTATGCAAAGTGTTGAGCATAGTGCCTGGCACATAGTAAAAGCTTGCCATTACCAAGAAGCTTTTATTTGTGTGAAGGAGCAAGGGTTACCATGCACTTGCCCCACTTTTAGCCCAAACCAAACATGACATATTGGTAAGGCTTACCTATATGACTTCTGGTGGTTTTTTTTGAAATATTGAAAATAGTTAGTGACTGCCTATTATTTTTTCCAGAAACATGTTTTAAATAACAGCTTTATAGAAATATAATTCATATACCATAAAATCTGTCCCTTTGAAGCATATAATTCAGTGGTTTTTAGTGTATTTATAGCTGTGCAATCATCACACTATCTAATTCCATTATCCCAAAAGAAACTCAGTGCCTATTAGCAGTCGCTCTTTACCTCCAGTCCTAAGTAGCCACTAATCTACTTTCTGTCTTTATACATTTACTTATTCAGACATTTCATATAAATGGAATCATACATGTGGCCCTTTGTCTCTGGTTTCTTTCACTTGGCACAATGTTTTCAAGTTTCATCCATGTTGTGGCATGTATCATTCTTTTTTTATTGCTGGATAATATTCCATTGTATGGATATATCACATTTTGCTTATTCATCGTTGTTGAAATTTGGGTTGTTCCCACTTTTGGCTGTTATGAATAATGCACTATGAACATTTGTGTTCAAGTTTTTGTGTGGACATATATTTTAATTTCTCTTAAGTATAGACCTAGGATTGGAAAACATACAGGTAGGCAACAGTGATCTCTGCTTCATAGTTCCTGGTTTATGACCAAGTTAAGCATTCATAAGTGGTATGTTGCTTAGATAATCTTGGTTCAAAGATAGGCATTTCCTGTGGTCTTCACATAAATGCTTATACCATACTTACAATTAAGTTGTTCATAATTATTTATGTGGTTTAAATTAACCACAGCATCATTCCTTACTAGAGGGTCTGCACCATTTATTTTTCTGATTCTATTAAATTAAAAAAAAATTTTTTTTTGAGTTGGAGTCTCACTCTGTTGCCCAGACTGGAGTGCAGTGGCCGCTGGGCTCCGGCGATCCTTCCACTCAGCCTTCCAAGTAACTGGAATTACAGGCGTGCGCTACCACACCTGGCTAATTTTTTGTTTTATTGTAGAGATGAGGTCTCACCAAGTTGCCCAGGCGGATCTCGAACCCACGGACTCAGGCAATCCACTCACCTCGGCCTCCCAAAGTGCTGGGATTATAGGCTGAGCCACTGAGCCCGGCTATTTTTTTTTTTTTAATTTTTAAGAATCATTTTTAAATGACACAGTAATTGTATATGCAGAGGGTGCCAAACATGTATACACATTTTAAGAAAGGAAAAAACTGTATTAAAATTGTAACACTGAATATATACTATAACAAAAGATGAATACAAGTAACATTTGACTTCTGCAATTACAAGAAGTGCTCAAAGTGGTTACCATCATCATACAGACACTTCTGATTATGGCAAACTAAAAGTAATGTATAGATAACATCTCTTAAAATGTGTATATATCTTTGGCACTTCCAGCATTTATGGAGTACAGTGTGATATTTTGATCATGTATAAAATGTGTAATGACCAAGTCAGTAATCAGCATATTCATTCCTCAAACATTGATTGTTTGTGTTGGGAA